GGAGTCTTACATTTTGAGGGCCTTCTCTGACAACTACTGGGGCCTGTCCTAGGAGGTCCTGGGAGGCAGGAAGCTTTGCCCCAGTGATGTACTGGGCCGTACGCACTACCCTCTGTAGTGCCTTGCGGTCGGAGGCCAAGCAGTTGCCATACCAGGCAGTGATGCAACCAGTCAGGATGCTCTCGATGGTGCAGCTATAGAATTTTTTGAGGATCTGAGGACCCATGCCAAATCTTTTTAGTCTCCTGAGGGGGAATAGGCTTTGTCGTGCCCTCTTCACGACTGTCTTGGTGTGTTTTGGACCATGATAGTTCGTTGGTGATGTGGACACCAAGGAACTTGAAGCTCTCAACCTGTTCCACTACAGCCCCGTCGATGAGAATGGGGGCGTGCTCAGTCCTATTTTTTTTTCCTGTAGTCCACAATCATCTCCTTTGTCTTGGTCACGTTGAGGGAGAGGTTGTTGTCCTGGCACCACACGACCAGATCTCTGACCTCCTCCCTATAGGCTGTCTCATCGTTGTCGGTGATCAGGCCTACCACTGTTGTGTCGTCGGCAAACTTAATGATGGTGTTGGAGTCGTGCCTGGCCATGCAGTCATGGGTGAACAGAGAGTACAGGAGGGGACTGAGCACGCACCCCTGAGGGGCCCCCCGTGTTGAGGATCAGTGTGGCAGATGTGTTGTTACCTACCCTTACCACCTGGGGGCGGCCCGTCAGGAAGTCCAGGATCCAGTTTGCAGAGGGAGGTGTTTAGTCCCAGGATCCTTAGCTTAGTGATGAGCTTAGAGGGCACTATGGTGTTGAATGCTGAGCTGTAGTCAATTAATAGCATTCTCACGTAGGTGTTTCCTCTTGTCCAGGTGGGAAAGGGCAGTGTGGAGTGCGATAGAGATTGCATCATCTGTGGATCTGTTGGGGCGGTATGCAAATTGGAGTGGGTCTAGGGTTTCTGGGATAATGCTGTTGATGTGAGCCATGACCAGCCTTTCAAAGCACTTCATGGCTACAGACGTCAGTGCTACGGGTCGGTAGTCATTTAGGCAGGTTATCTTAGAGTCCTTGGGCACGGGGACTATGGTGGTCTGCTTGAAACATGTTGGTATTACAGACTCAGTCAGGGACATGTTGAAAATGTCAGTGAAGACACTTGCCAGTTGGTCAGCACATGCTCGGAGTACACGTCCTGGTAATCCGTCTGGCCCTGGCGGCCTTGTGAATGTTGACCTGCTTAAAAGTCTTACTCACATCGGCTACGGAGAGAGCGTGATCACATAGTCATCCGGGAACAGCTGGTGCTCTCATGCATGCTTCAGTGTTGCTTGCCTCGAAGCGAGCATAGAAGTGGTTTAGCTCGTCTGGTAGGCTTGTGTCACTGGGCAGCTCGCGGCTGTGCTTCCCTTTGTAGTCTGTAATAGTTTTCAAGCCCTGCCACATCCGACGAGCGTCAGAGCCAGTGTAGTATGATTCAATCTTAGACCTGTATTGACTCTTTGCCTGTTTGATGGTTCGTCGGAGGTCATAGCGGGATTTCTTATAAGCGTCCGGGTTAGAGTCCCGTTCCTTGAAAGCGGCAGCTCTACCCTTTAGCTCAGTGCGGATGTTTCCTGTAATCCATGGCTTCTGGTTGGGGTATGTACGTACGGTCACTGTGGGGACGACATCATCGATGCACTTATTGATGAAGCCAGTGACTGATGTGGTGTACTCCTCAATGCTGTCTGAAGAATCCCGGAACATGATCCAGTCTGTGCTAGCAAAACAGTCCTGTAGCTTAGCATCTGCGTCATCTGACCACTTTTTTATTATTTTACAAACTGTTAAATAGCGTTATATGGCAAAAGTGGTCTTGGCACGTGCGCTTTAGACAACTGCTCGCAGGTACAGTGCGGGCAGGCTAACTACATTATGAAATTATGGATAAGAGCGATATCCATAATAAGCATCAAGCTCATCACCTTGCACATTCACCACCCTGTGAAGTTCATCATAACTTATCTGTTATCTTATCTGTAGCCTAAAACTGCATGCTTTCCCGAGTCATAGTGGGAGGACCACACATGTCGCGTGACCCCAAATTAACTTCGATATGATGGTTATTATATAAACATTAGCGCATGAAGGCGTTTCATTGGCCATTTCTTGCATAATTACATTTTACAGACACAAAAGATCCCACCATGTCGAACGAACAAATTGCCTTTCGGTATTTATAAAATTGTACCAGCATTTCCTGTTTCCATCAGCTCAGCCCGATCATGACTTTGTTCATGTGTCAGGTAGGTAATTCAGCCACATGAAATGGTTGGATGGAGACTTGGTTAGTGTTGCAGAAATGCGTAGGCCATCTACACGAGTGTGGCCTAGGCTATCGGCTGGTGATGAATATGCCTACAGCCCGCCCCATATAGTTTCAGGAAAGGCAAGATTGCTCAATTTTATCTGAAGAAAGATTATTTAAGCAAGCAAGACAAAGGCTAAATAAACTACTTTGTCAATATTTGTATTTAAACTTTTTTTTTTTTGGGGGGGGGGGGGGTTGTAGCGTAGTAGGCGTAAAGCCTATGCTTATTCAGATTGAGTAGTAAGCCTAGGCCATCTCCATTGGAAGACCATAAAAAGATTCAGACAAACTTTGTGCAAATTGAATGAGCAATTAGGTTACTGATAGGCTGGGAAAGATGGGGTGACTTAATTTCTGTGCTTGGCCAATGAGGTTGCTCGATGGAAGTTGGAGGGAAATTGAGCAGTGTGACTGGAAAGATCCACTAGGGGGTAGGCTTATTCGCTCAGATTATAATTAAACAGGTGTTTTACATACAGGTAATCACCTACGTCTATGGTAATCACAGCTCCAGGCCTTTCGAGCTGTTGAGTATATAAGGCTACGTTTTTTTGGTCTTCTTTAGACAGGACTATGTTTACTTTGACCTTCCATTAATTCGAGTCAGTAAATAAAAGTAAACTACGTTGAAAACGGATTGCAAATAACCAATGGCTCTCAAATTCAACTTGAAGGTGTGTAGATAATGTTATGCTTATATTGAAACAAAAGGACACGTTTACAAACAACAATGTAGAAAATTAGTGAATGAAATCTGTTAAATGTTATGTAGGTTAATTGCTGTGGAATTTACCAGGTATTTTTGGTCCTCGTGGTCATTTTTTGCTGTGCCTGCGACTGTGTCCTTGGTGAGAAACGTATTTGTCTGACTTCTATAGATTTGACGGTATTTACTCGATAATGTTATGAGTGGCCTCCATTGATTTCATGTTTTCTCTCAGGAATATGCAATGTGACACACTGCACTGACACAACTAAGTGTTTGATATCCCCCGGCAAACGCAACTGCAAATGTGCTGTGGGCTACTATGGAGACCTGTGTGACAAAGGTACTTTTTTTTGGGTGTTTAAAAAAATAAAAATGTGTAGACCAAAATAACTAGAATAGCTATGTTGGAACTTATCTTCTAAATTGTATTTTATTTATTTTAGCTGCAAACTATCAATGTCAAGTGTGGCAAAGACTACATTACGATCATGGTGAATGAGGACTTTTTCCAGTACTACAAAGTACCTGTGGAATCTCTGCACTTGACGAATGAGTCTTGTCGTGCCCAAAAGGAGGTTATGTCTGACGTCCTATACTACATAGTGCGGATATCAAAGGATCGGTACAGTTCCTGTGGCGGTAAACCACTGGAGGTAAGTATGAGTAGTCCCACACTTCATACTATACATTGATAATCCTGTCTCAGCAAAGGCCTACTCTCTAGGCTCAATACATCGATCTGTAGTTGTCACCTCTCATGCACTAATTTGTTCTTGCCCTTGTTATCTCAGCAAGTCCAACTGTATTCATTTCTTATGACGTTGCAAGTTTTGTTTTTTTACTGGCATTGTGCCTTCTCTTTTACAACAGAAAAACATCACTCACATCACATACGCCTTAACTCTCATGTCGGCCCCTCAAGTCTATGGAAATATAATAAGAGACCCAATGATAAAAATTGAGTACACGTGTATCTACCCATACATCCGCACTGTCAGTCTGCCGTACCCCATCATCCCCTTCTCTAGGTAAGGCCCACTCTAAAAGGTGACTTGATCACAACTTTCTGTAGTTTAAAAAGGTAGTCTTGGTCTGTTACTGGAGCCACCTAACAAGTAGACTCACTTGAGATGCAATTTTTGTGTAACTTTGCCTTAGTGATGTCAGACTAGCAAGAAGAACTCCTGGATAGGCCAAAACTAGAGCCCAGACTTGTTCCTGGAGAGAACCCACAAGCATCAAATAATATCTGTTCCAGCTGGCAGATAGCTGTCGATACTTAGGTAGTGTTAAGGGTAAGCAACATTTGAGATGTATCTTTACTTGGTTATACTGCCTCAGTTCCCTACTTGAAAGCCACTACTGTCTTGTAAACTTTAATGGCTAGTTTGCAGGTGGTTGGTTGGAATTTAGAAAATGCTGTTTATTACATTATATTTTGGCTTCTTGAAGTAATCCAACAATGTGTATGCTGCGATCTTGTCGATTTCAAATATTCTCTCTGATCGAGACGGGCGACTCAGAAATCAAGCGTTGTGTTGAATGACACTCGCCTGTCTGGATCAATGGGAGATTATTTGAAATGGACAAGATGGCAGTGTACACGTTGTTGCATTACTTAAATTCAATAAATGTTCCTCAATTAACTGAGCATTTTCTAAATTCCAACGAACCACCGCCTAGCCATGGAAATGTAGAAGACAGCTGTGGCTTTCAAGTGGGGTATTGGGGAAGATTAACCAAGTTAATGTTGGTAGAATGTTTTGCTTACTCTTAACACTACCTAAGTAGCGACGGCTATCCGCCAGCTGGGACAGCTAGTAATGTCAGACTAGCCATTGATTTATTAGCAAGAGTTCTTCCAGTTCAGTTAACGTGGACATGACAAGCGTTTCCCTCACAGTAATCCTGTGCTGTGTTTTGGTTCAGTGAGACGGTGATAAGGATGGGTGAGTTGGATGCCAAGGTGGAGATGGCCCTCTTCACAGATCACACCTACACAGAGGCGTTCCAAAGCTCACCTCTGATCCACCTCCGGGACAGGGTGTATGTGGAGATCAAGGTCGCGGAGCTGGAGGACTTCTTCCACCTGAGGGTTAACGAGTGCTGGGCCACACAGTCCCCCGAACCCAACCAGACAGAGGGCTCCGTTCACACCCTGCTGCGCAATGGGTGAGTGGACCATCAAACATTTATCCCTGGGAACATGTAAGCCTATTATTGCTCTTGAAACATGGCATGAAAAATTAATTTAGCAAGCTGTGAGCAATTCTGTTTTGAGCTGAGCTTAAACAATTTGGCACATCAGACATTTAATAAATGTAGCAGATCCAGTGTTAAGTTTGCTGATGAAGGTCTTGGATTTTCAATCTAATGATCAGGTAAAGATTTATTAAATCTAAGACACTCCCCCTCACAGGTGTGTGAATGACGAGACTGTCACATTTCTCAATACGACAATGGGTGCGAATGGAGAGGCCTCCACCATCCGGTACAGCTTTGACATGTTCCGCTTTGTCGTGGAGCCTCATGACCTGTACCTGCACTGCACAGTGCGCTTGTGCTCCCTGGATGATGAAGAACCCTGCATTCCTGTAAGTTCACTGTCAGGAACAGCTAAAATATTTGATTTCAAATTATTTCCTTTCATGAAGCAAATGCATTTTCTGAATTTGGCATGGCATACCAAGATTTTGTCTTTTCTAAATGATTCATCTCTGCCTTTCATACTACTACAGGAGTGCAAATCTATAACCAAGAGGGCAGCAGTGCGTGGAGACCCAACTCAAGGTCTACTGTCATATGGACCAATCAGGATTGACATACCAGACCGACCCCAGTCTAGTAAGGACTTGTGGTATCTTTTTTGTATTTCATTATCTACTGAAAATTGTAGAAAATATTTATTGTATCCCTTAATTGTATTTTGTTGCTGGGCTCAAATATTGCCCTTGCTCAGTCTACTTAAAAATAAAATAGACCAGAGGGGTGTACTACAAAGCTGAATCAATGAGTTAGCCAGTTTGATAAACAACCAGATGACCACATTTTCTGGTTCATTTAAGAATACTATACTTGGGTATATGTTTTGGGTTGAGTCAACTAGATCGTTCCCATTCAAAGTTTAATATTTTAAAAAAAGTGTGAATATTTAGGCACGTTAGCTAACTAATTTATCCTGCTTTGTAGTGTACTCCTCTGGGCTCATGTTGAGGCTAGGGGCAGGGTGGTATGTGCAGGGTTTTCCACAGTCTTGACTTTGTTCCAGATCTGCTGCTGATGATGGTTCCTGTGGCTGGCATCTGGGTCCTGGGCCTCTTCCTCCTCGCCCTAATCACCATCGCCAAGGCAGGAAACCGACGACTGTCACAGCTAGCAAACCGCTGACAATAATTTGAATAAAATTTAAAAAAGAAAGTATTTAATTTCTATGACTATTAAATGAGTCCCTCTCTGCAGAAATTGTGCTTTTCACATTTTATAAACGTCTTTACCACAGAGGTCTGAACATTCAGCCCTGTAGTTCAAGAATGTGGCTGTGGGTTAAAAACCAGTTCAAACATGAGTTACTGGTTTAAATCATGAATGGGTCTCTCATCAAACACGGCAACTCTTATTCTAGTGTCACTCGATTTGATCAAATAGTACAGTGTACTTGTAGTGATTCTTAGTTCTCAGCAGATGGCAATAGGAGCCATCTGTTGCTGCGTCAGATGGTCTATAGTTCATCCCCAGGGGGAGGGGAGTTTCTTTTCCAGAGAAATTGCTTTGTCTAATAGACTCCCCACAGTATGTAGGCAACATTGCTTTCCTCCCGTATTCTCTAGCAGAAAGTCTGTTCCCTTGTTTTCTCAGAAGGCAGTGAGGTTATTGGACTATCAATGTAATCCAGTGCAGCCTGCAAGAGATGCTGTGGTTGAACTCAAATCTAACAGACTTTCAGGATACTTGGAAATTTAAGACAATTGCGTTTTTATTTGTGTTATCCTCCACATTTACGTTTTCAGCACAGTGTGGATACATCTTACCACAGAACATGACGCTTGTTCAAACTAAAATACTTTTCTCTCGCTACTCTTCTCACTCACAGGCCTACTTCATCGTGCAGAAAAGCTATTTGACTGTAGAGGGGGAGTAGGTAACACACTGTAATATTCCAGAGGACATGCTGTTTTTTACCATTCGCTCATGTGGGTCATTAGGAAATGGGCTTAAATTGAAAACTGACTCAGGCCTTTGAATAACCCATGATCACATATTTGGACAATTACAAATAATTTCTTCCAGTGCGACTAAGCCGAGCTGTTTCAGAAACGTGGATACTTTGCAAGCGATCTGATTTGAGCGCGCCTCGACCCAATGTCGAGTGGTTGAACTGCGGCGAGAACTTCATAAAACATACAAGAGACTGGATTTTGAACTCAACCAAGTTTGACTTTATGTAGTCACATAGCAGTACACATCACTTGACCGCAGTTTCCAATCACTTCTGACTGTGACCGTCCATTGCACGGGCTAACAAGAGCGCACAAAGATGGCATCCCTCTCGAGAAGCGCTTCTCCGGGGTTGTGGAAACAAATCATGGCTCCACTCGTCTTGCTCTTGTGCAACAGGCTTGTGGCCAATGCGGACGAAGACACTTTCAACGCAGAGGTACAGTATGTTGTATACATGTGTCCTTTAATGTCAAAATATGGACGTTTTTACGGTGCGTAAATCTGTGGAATTGTGGCAGTCGCCTGATGAGCTTAGTTTCCTTCTACTCTGAAACATTGCATGACCATGATCTCTACTATCCTGGTGGTCAGGTAGTTATCTAAACTGATATAGCATTTTATGTGATCTAATGACTTCTCATTTTCTCATCACTGATCATGAGGACATGAGCAGATTCATGGAAATATTTGGTGCGCACATTTATGACCCTTGACCTTTTCCGTAATGGGTATTGTGCAACATTCCCACTTCACGTATGGCAGGCATATTATTAGGAGTAATTATGTGTTGGGTAAAAGTTGGACCTCTAGGGTAAAACCCTATGTACATGCCTGTAAACCACAGAAAGTGTTCCTCACCTACTGTACTGCTTATCCTGCAGACATGTTGTGCAAGATATCCAGATTGATCACTCTTATTATGAGTCATCATTTTGGTGGCCTGAAGCTGCTTTTCTTTGTCTCTCTGTTTGTGTGTGTGTATAGGTCTATGTGTGCAGTGCATGCCTGTTTACAGAGAAAGTTGTGCTCAGTGGGCCCATTATGTTTTTAAATTCCCATGTCAAGGCTTTTGCAAGGCAAGCTCTCTGTGCTGTCTTGGTTGGGTCTCTTTTGTTTCCATTGCATTATCAATGGGATATTAATATTGTATGCCAGACCTTACAGCCAGACACACGTCTGCTTATGGCTATATTAATGGTATATATAGTAGAGCTGAATTTACACAGTTTATGTAGAATTTTTGTTGTAATTGACATTTATTTAACCCTGTGTGTCAGTGCTTCGTTTTGGGTTAACTGCTTACATTCCAAAGCTTTTACTCTTACAACCCAATGATGCCTGCTCTGTCTGTCCTATTATCTATTGGGCCAATCCTGTGGTTATCTAAACTGCCAATAAGGAGGAGGTGCGACTCAAAGAGGAATGCCATGAAATAATAGAAACCATCTGTTTCTCTGTCCTCTACATACAGTGGGGAGAACAAGTATTTGATACAATGCCGATTTTGCAGGTTTTCCTACTTACAAAGCATGTAGAAGTCTGTAATTTTTATCATAGGTACACTTCAACTGTGAGAGACGGAATCTAAAACAAAAATCCAGAATATCACATTGTATGATTTTTAAGTAATTAATTTGCATTCTATTGCATGACATAAGTATTTGATCACCTACCAACCAGTAAGAATTCCGGCTCTCACAGACCTGTTAGTTTTTCTTTAAGAAGCCCTCTTGTTCTCCACTCATTACCTGTATTAACTGCACCTGTTTGAACTCGTTACCTGTATAAAAGACACCTGTCCACACACTCAATCAAACAGACTCCAACCTCTCCACAATGGCCAAGACCAGAGAGCTGTGTAAGGACATCAGGGATAAAATTGTAGACCTGCACAAGGCTGGGATGGGCTACAGGACAATAGGCAAGCAGCTTGGTGAGAAGGCAACAACTGTTGGCACAATTATTAGAAAATGGAAGAAGTTCAAGATGACGGTCAATCACCCTCGGTCTGGGGCTCCATGCAAGATCTCACCTCATGGGGCATCAATGATCATGAGGAAGGTGAGGGATCAGCCCAGAACTACATGGCAGGACCTGGTCAATGACCTGAAGAGAGCTGGGACCACAGTCTCAAAGAAAACCATTAGTAACATACTACGCCGTCATAGATTAAAATCCTGCAGCGCACGCAAGGTCCCCCTGCTCAAGCCAGCGCATGTCCAGGCCCATCTGAAGTTTGCCAATGACCATCTGGATGATCCAGAGGAGGAATGGGAGGTCATGTGGTCTGATGAGACAAAAATAGAGCTTTTTGGTCTAAACTCCACTCGCCGTGTTTGGAGGAAGAAGAAGGATGAGTACAACCCCAAGAACACCATCCCAACCGTGAAGCATGGAGGGGGAAACATCATTTTTTGGGGATGCTTATCTGCAAAGGGGACAGAACGACTGCACCGTATCGAGGGGAGGATGGATGGGGCCATGTATCGCAAGATCTTGGCCAACAACCTCCTTCCCTCAGTAAGAGCATTGAAGATGGGTCGTGGCTGGGTCTTCTAGCATGACAATGACCCGAAACACACAGCCAGGGCAACTAAGGAGTGGCTCCGTAAGAAGCACCTCAAGGTCCTGGAGTGGCCTAGCCAGTCTCCAGACCTGAACCCAATAGAAAATCTTTGGAGGGAGCTGAAAGTCCGTGTTGCCCAGCGACAGCCCCGAAACCTGAAGGATCTGGAGAAGGTCTGTATGGAGGAGTGGGCCAAAATCCCTGCTGCAGTGTGTGCAAACCTGGTCAAGACCTACAGGAAATGTATGATCCCTGTAATTGTAAACAAAGGTTTCTGTACCAAATATTAAGTTCTGCTTTTCTGATGTATCAAATACTTATGTCATGCAATAAAATGCAAATTAATTACTTAAAAATCATACAATGTGATATTCTGGATTTTTGTTTTAGATTCCGTCTCTCACAGTTGAAGTGTACCTATGATAAAAATTATAGACCTCTACATGCTTTGTAAGTAGGAAAACCTGCAAAATCGGCAGTGTATCAAATACTTGTTCTCCCCACTGTATGTGACAACAGCAACCAATACGACCGATGGTATGGGTCTTGGAGAACCACATGTCTGTGAGGATAAAGCAGCCAAACAGATCAAAGTCCGAATGGACCTGCAAAACTCACCCTTGGAGGGGAACAAAATCACCCTGTTCACTGATGGATGCTGCTACAGGTCAAAGGACCCAAAGGAAGGAAACACTGCTGCCTATGCAGTGGTGAAACAAGACACAGAAGGAGGACATGAAGTAATGGAAGCAGAGAAACTTGGTCCCAATGAAGCTTCAGCACAGCTAGCTGAACTTAGGGCGTTGAGGAGAGCTCTACAACTAAGTGAAGGAAAGAATGTGGACATCTACACAGACTCTGCCTATGCACATGGGATTGCACACATTGATGGACCACAGTGGATGAGGAGAAGATTTGTGACCAGCTCAAATGAGCCCATCAAACACAAGGTTGAAGTACAGAAGTTAATTGATGCAATCCAGCTTTCCAAACGAGTAGCAATAATGAAGTGCAAAGGTCACAGCAGAGAAAGCACCAGAGTGCGTGAAGGAAATGATCGGGCTGATCAAGCAGCAAAAGATGCAGGAGGATACACTGCCCAGCAGATGGTGCAACGAGCCACTCAAGGACAGGAGGAGTTGACGACAGACACAGTAAGACAGTTGCAAGAAGCAGCAGGCGCCTACGAACAGAACGTATGGAGCAGACAGGGAGCAAGGCAAGACCATCATGGGATTTGGAGATCTCACACAGGAAAAACAGTGGGACCTGCAAAACTCCTCAGATCAATCTTAAGGGAAGAGCATGAGAAGGCTCATGGAGGATGGAAAAGTGTCACAAAATCAGTTGAGAAAGCATGGTGGCATCCACACATGTTGGACATGTCAAGAGAGACATCAGAGAGCTGTGAAGTGTGCAAACAATACAACAACAAAGTGTCAATTGGAGCAGTGATAGGTAGCTTCCCAATACCTGATGCACCATTTCAAGACGTTTGCATAGACTTCACGGACATGGGACAGGACAACAGAGTGGAAGGAAAAAGGTACCTGTTGGTAATGGTGGACAGATTCACCAGATGGGTGGAAGCCATCCCCACAGCAAGAGAAGACGCAAAGGCCGTGATTAAGTGGTTGATGCGAGACCTCATTCCAAGGTTTGGAGTCACGCGAATGATCCGTTCCGACAATGGTACCCATTTCAAGAATGAACACCTGAGAGAGGTAGAACAGGCCCTAGGGATCACTCACAAGTTCGGGTCAGTGTATCATCCCCAATCGCAGGGACTTGTTGAACGCGCTAACCAGACTCTGAAACGAAAAATTGCTAAAATCATGGCAGGCACCAAACTGAAATGGGTAGATGCCCTACCCCTTGCTCTAATGTCAATGAGAAATTCACCTGGGTCTGATACCCTCTTGACTCCACATGAGCTTATGACAGGACACAGAATGCCAGGGGAGGATGTTATGGTTAGTAGTGGGGGCTGGCCCTATGGCGAACAGTGACTTCCAGTCAGTATCATAATATAGTCATTACCTTACAGGAAGGGGAATCTCAAGTGATGTCCCTAGAACCATGTAAGATCTGGTCATGGAGGAATAGGTCTAGTGGAATTGGGGACACTGGTTGCAATTGGAACCAGAAGGGAAACTGTAACAAAATGTATCCCCATGTGTTAAAGAGAGGTACTTATCTGTATGAGGGAAAGTGGTGTCCATATTGGGACTATATGATCACAAATGTTGGCACCTTCTGGGAATGGCGTAGAGGCTATCCATATGCATTAGGAGATGCTTCTAAAGCAGCTAGGTTTTCAATGATAAGGGGTGTGCAGGGGTCAAAAAGGGGTGCATGTAAAGGCGATGAAATCCTACTAACCATCCAAGACATTAACTTACAGACGCAGGTGTGTACACCTTAGCAGCAGTACGATCCGGACCAGACACCATGGGTATGTTCACCATCGCGGTCACACCCAAACCTGCAGCTGGGGGAGAGACAGACCCAGTTGAACCACATCACCACTCCAGGACCAGCTCAGCTTCAACCCACTAAGGTACCAAACCCCATTCAGGTGATTAATGTTAGGGATATAACGGACAGCGACCAATTGGGGACAGAAACTGGCTATGAAGGGAAAGAAAATATGTGGTTGGCATACATGAGGTATACGGCTAGGACACTGGTCAGGCAGAATTGTGTTATCTGTGGGCATGCAAGACCTGGGTTGGCAACCCACCCATTCGCCTTAGGAAAGAGGGGGAAGGATGCAGTGCAATTGGAAGAGTTATACCATTCACTGGCCAACACCCCCCTGTGCAAAGCCTAAGTTGATTTTCCCTGAGGTTCCCCCACAAAAGGACCGCGGGAGTCAGGCTTAGGGAGGTAAATTAACAGTTGCATACTGGAACAGGTAAGGTGTTAACTATTGTAGGCCTACACAAGGGGACTGTGCTGTGAATGTAACTATTAACAGCACTTGGCCAGTAGATAGGGTAAAACCCAGACAAGGGGTGGCTGATGTGTGGGTGATCTGTGGGCCAAATAGACAAACTACCCCCCGATTAATATTTTGTGACATTCTTTTAAAAAACCACTATTACGATTTACAAAAATGGTCGTTTCCGCCGCCTTTAAGGTTACATGGGAATGGGCACTCGCGTGTTGAGGCTGACAACCTCTCTCCTAGCAGGGTAGCAAACTCAACATCGAAAAACACCTAACTTGTTCACAAAACAATGTAAATATCCGAGGAGGAAATGTGAAGAATGGAGCAGAGAACTTGGCCCAATGAAGCTCAGCAAAGCTAGCTGAAAAACTTCGGGCGTTGAGAGAGCTCTACAACTAAGTGAAGGGAAAGAAGTGGACATTCTACACAGACTCTGCCTATGCACATGGGATTGCAACACATTGAGGACCACAGTGGATGAGGAGAAGATTTGTGACCAAGCTCAAATGAGCCCATCAAACACAAGGTGGAAGTAAAGAAGTTAATGATGCAATTCCAGCTTTCCAAAACGAGATAGCAATAATGAAGGCAAAGGTCACAGCAGAGGAAGCACCAGAGTGAGTGAAGGAAAGATCGGGCTGATCAAGCAGCAAAAGATGCAGGAGGATACACTGCCCAGCAGATGGTGCAACGAGCCACTCAAGGACAGGAGGAGTTGACGACAGACACAGTAAGACAGTTGCAAGAAGCAGCAGGCGCCTACGAACAGAACGTATGGAGCAGACAGGGAGCAAGGCAAGACCATCATGGGATTTGGAGATCTCACACAGGAAAAACAGTGGGACCTGCAAAACTCCTCAGATCAATCTTAAGGGAAGAGCATGAGAAGGCTCATGGAGGATGGAAAAGTGTCACAAAATCAGTTGAGAAAGCATGGTGGCATCCACACATGTTGGACATGTCAAGAGAGACATCAGAGAGCTGTGAAGTGTGCAAACAATACAACAACAAAGTGTCAATTGGAGCAGTGATAGGTAGCTTCCCAATACCTGATGCACCATTTCAAGACGTTTGCATAGACTTCACGGACATGGGACAGGACAACAGAGTGGAAGGAAAAAGGTACCTGTTGGTAATGGTGGACAGATTCACCAGATGGGTGGAAGCCATCCCCACAGCAAGAGAAGACGCAAAGGCCGTGATTAAGTGGTTGATGCGAGACCTCATTCCAAGGTTTGGAGTCACGCGAATGATCCGTTCCGACAATGGTACCCATTTCAAGAATGAACACCTGAGAGAGGTAGAACAGGCCCTAGGGATCACTCACAAGTTCGGGTCAGTGTATCATCCCCAATCGCAGGGACTTGTTGAACGCGCTAACCAGACTCTGAAACGAAAAATTGCTAAAATCATGGCAGGCACCAAACTGAAATGGGTAGATGCCCTACCCCTTGCTCTAATGTCAATGAGAAATTCACCTGGGTCTGATACCCTCTTGACTCCACATGAGCTTATGACAGGACACAGAATGCCAGGGGAGGATGTTATGGTTAGTAGTGGGGCTGGCCCTATGGCGAACAGTGACTTCCAGTCAGTATCATAATATAGTCATTACCTTACAGGAAGGGGAATCTCAAGTGATGTCCCTAGAACCATGTAAGATCTGGTCATGGAGGAATAGGTCTAGTGGAATTGGGGACACTGGTTGCAATTGGAACCAGAAGGGAAACTGTAACAAAATGTATCCCCATGTGTTAAAGAGAGGTACTTATCTGTATGAGGGAAAGTGGTGTCCATATTGGGACTATATGATCACAAATGTTGGCACCTTCTGGGAATGGCGTAGAGGCTATCCATATGCATTAGGAGATGCTTCTAAAGCAGCTAGGTTTTCAATGATAAGGGGTGTGCAGGGGTCAAAAGGGGGTGCATGTAAAGGCGATGAAATCCTACTAACCATCCAAGACATTAAACTTACAGACGCAGGTGTGTACACCTTAGCAGCAGTACGATCCGGACCAGACACCATGGGTATGTTCACCATCGCGGTCACACCCAAACCTGCAGCTGGGGAGAGACAGACCCAGTTGAACCACATCACCACTCCAGGACCAGCTCAGCTTCAACCCACTAAGGTACCAAACCCCATTCAGGTGATTAATGTTAGGGATATAACGGACAGCGACCAATTGGGGACAGAAACTGGCTATGAAGGGAAAGAAAATATGTGGTTGGCATACATGAGGTATACGGCTAGGACACTGGTCAGGCAGAATTGTGTTATCTGTGGGCATGCAAGACCTGGGTTGGCAACCCACCCATTCGCCTTAGGAGAAGGGGAAGGATGGCAGTGCATATTGGAAGAGTTATACCATTCACTGCCAAACACCACCCTGTGCAAAGCCCTAAGTTTGATTTTCCCTGAGGTTCCCCCACAAAAGGCACCTGCGGGAGTTCAGGCTTATGGAGGTAATTACAGTTGCATTACTGGAACAGGTAAGGGTGTTAACTATGGTAGGCTACCACCAGGGGACTGTGCTGTGAATGTAACTATGAACAGCACTTGGCCAGTAGAGGGTAAAACCCAGACAAAGGGGGTGGCTGATGTGTGGTGGATCTGTGGGCCAAATAGAAAACTAACCCCGATTAATATTTTGTGACCTGTCTTTTAACCAAAATATTACAGATTTGACAAAAATGGTCAGTTGCCCCTTTAAGGTTACCATGGTAATGGGCCACTCGAGTTGTTGAGGCTGACAACCTCTCTTCCCTAGCAGTGGTAGCAAACTCAAACATTGAAAAACAACCTAACTTGTTAACAAAACAATGTAAATATCCAAGAAACACGAGAATAAAGTCTCACTTTAGTAGGTTGACCAACTTTTATGCCTGTGCACATCACTTCTAAAAAACAAAATCTTTCAGCACTTCACTCACAGCAGGCGATGGGATTTGATACCAGCAACCCTCCGGTTGCCAGCTCACTTCCCGCCTGATTTTACCCATAAGACAATTTCTACGCCTGACCATGGCTACCTCTGGAGAGTATGTGGACATGAACCATCAAGCATTTCAGGAGAAAACAGGATTGGTGCCGATTAGTGTCAGGACTGGCCTCGACAATTTTCTTTTAGTAAATTATTTTACAATGAAAAATGTAAAAAAAGAATGACTACAAAATTCACAAGATGAGCAGGGTAATCAGAATAGAAAAAGTTCCAACATTTTGACTTAACCAAGACCTAAACAAAAATTGAGTCACAGCGAGCTGCGGTGAACAATGACAGGATTTGGGAATAACATTGCCTTGATAAAATTCTCCTCCCTGTTCACCTTGGAATTAAGGACCATCCTTGTCATCCAGGCCAATTTGGACAAAAATTAAAACAAATTAAACCATGCATCACTAGTGCTAACTTACCGTTAGTATCCCACTCAGTCTTTGGCGGGCTGTCTTCTCTGGGTGGGCTGTTACCGCTTCCATCTTCTTCTTCTTCTTCTTCATCATCATCTTCAGGGGTCACCAGCTTAATCAGGCTGTGGTTGCAGGCGCTTGCAGCCTCTTTGGTGCCTGTACAGGATCAGTGAAGGATACAAACCTCCAGAAACACAGAACTCTTGCGCCATCTGTTGGCCAGATTTTACATAAGCGAGCGCTTGCTCTTGTGAAATTCTTATCTTATAGTACATTTTCCCATCTTATAGTACAGTTACAGTGGGGGAAAAAAGTATTTAGTCAGCCACCAATTGTGCAAGTTCTCCCACTTAAAAAGATGAGAGAGGCCTGTAATTTTCATCATAGGTACACGTCAACTATGACAGACAAAATGAGATTTTATTTTCCAGAAAATCACATCGTAGGATTTTTTATGAATTTATTTGCAAATTATGGTGGAAAATAAGTATTTGGTCAATAACAAAAGTTTCTCAATACTTTGTTATTTACCCTTTGTTGGCAATGACACAGGTCAAACGTTTTCTGTAAGTCTTCACAAGGTTTTCACACACTGTTGCTGGTATTTTGGCCCATTCCTCCATGCAGATCTCCTCTAGAGCAGTGATGTTTTGGGGCTGTCGCTGGGCAACACAGACTTTCAACTCCCTCCAAAGATTTTCTATGGGGTTGAGATCTGGAGACTGGCTAGGCCACTCCAGGACCTTGAAATGCTTCTTACGAAGCCACTCCTTCGTTGCCCGGGCGGTGTGTTTGGGATCATTGTCATGCTGAAAGACCCAGCCACGTTTCATCTTCAATGCCCTTGCTGATGGAAGGAGGTTTTCACTCAAAATCTCACTATACATGGCCCCATTCATTCTTTCCTTTACACGGATCAGTCGTCCTGGTCCCTTTGCAGAAAAACAGCCCCAAAGCATGATGTTTCCACCCCCATGCTTCACAGTAGGTATGGTGTTCTTTGGATGCAACTCAGCATTCTTTGTCCTCCAAACACGACGAGTTGAGTTTTTACCAAAAAGTTCTATTTTGGTTTCATCTGACCATATGACATTCTCCCAATCCTCTTCTGGATCATCCAAATGCACTCTAGCAAACTTCAGACAGGCCTGGACATGTACTGGCTTAAGCAGGGGGACACGTCTGGCACTGCAGGATTTGAGTCCCTGGCGGCGTAGTGTGTTACTGATGGTAGGCTTTGTTACTTTGGTCCCATCTCTCTGCAGGTCATTCACTAGGTCCCCCCGTGTGGTTCTGGGATTTTTGCTCACCGTTCTTGTGATCATTTTTGACCCCACGGGGTGAGATCTTGCGTGGAGCCCCAGATCGAGGGAGATTATCAGTGGTCTTGTATGTCTTCCATTTCCTAATAGTTGCTCCCACAGTTGATTTCTTCAAACCAAGCTGCTTACCTATTGCAGATTCAGTCTTCCCAGCCTGGTGCAGGTCTACAATTTTGTTTCTGGTGTCCTTTGACAGCTCTTTGGTCTTGGCCATAGTGGAGTTTGGAGTGTGACTGTTTGAGGTTGTGGACAGGTGTCTTTTATACTGATAACAAGTTCAAACAGGTGCAATTAATACAGGTAACGAGTGGAGGACAGAGGAGCCTCTTAAAGAAGTTGTTACAGGTCTGTGAGAGCCAGAAATCTTGCTTGTTTGTAGGTGACCAAATACTTATTTTCTACCATAATTTGCAAATAAATTCATTAAAGAACCTACAATGTAATTTTCTGGATTTTTTTCCTCAATTTGTCTGTCATAGTTGACGTGTACCTATGATGAAAATTACAGGCCTCTCTCAACTTTTTAAGTGGGAGAACTTGCACAATTGGTGGCTGACTAAATACTTTTTTTCCCCCACTGTATAAAACGGGTGGTTCGAGCCCTGAATGCTGATTGGCTGACAGCCGCAGTATATCAGACCGTATACCACAGGTATGACAAAACATTTATTTTTACTGCTCTAATTACGTTGGTAACCAGCTTATAATAGCAATAAGGCAGCTCTGGGGTTTGTGGTATATGGCCAATCCTTTGTGTTGCGTCGTGCATAAGAACAGCCCTTAGCAGTGGTATATTGGCCATATACCATAACCCCCTCGGGCCATATTGGTTAAATATACAACCATTTCCAAGTATCTGTGTTATAGGCCTAATAGTTACTGTTCTATGCTAGTAGATACAGTTGAAGTCGGACGTTTACATACACCTTAGCCAAATACATTTAAACTCAATTTTTCACAATTCCTGACATTTAATCCTAGTATGAATTCCCTGTCTTAGGTCAGTTAGGATCACCACTTTATTTTAAGAATGTGAAATGTCAGAATAATAGTAGAGAGAATGATTTATTTCAGCTTTTATTTCTTTCATCACATTCCCAGTGGGTCAGAAGTTTACATACACTCAATTAGTATTTGGTAGCATTGCCTTTAAATTGTTTAACTTGGGTCAAACATTTCGGGTAGCCTTCCACAAGCTTCCCACAATAAGTTGTGTGAATTTTGGCCCATTCCTCCTGACAGAGCTGGTGTAACTGAGTCAGGTTTGTAGGCCTC